CTCCTATGTACAGATACCAACACCGGCTACGCGACAGAATTTTCTTGTTTTTGTTGGGTTCTAAAAAGGACAAATCTTTTGAATCCACAAGCAGATACAGCGAAGATGGTGGCCATTTTAAAAAGGGCAAATTGTTTTTTTTTTACGTTTTATTGTTTTCAATGATTTTGTTAAGCAAAATGGGGTGATTTTGGAGCCCCATATCTAGGGAAGTATACATTTCAAAAATTATGCTGTCGTAATGATAAAAATGTCCAAGTTTTCTGAGAGTTGGCCTTAAAGGAAATATAAGCCCATGTTTAGATGACTAAACTAGAAATTAAGCCTTCACAATATATTGTTTTCAATAATTCGAATATTAAAATGCATAAAGTGTTATTATACCAATTGGAGACTTTCGTTAAATCCCTCTATATTATATTGATGTAATTTTAAATAAAATTCGGTATTAATTTTGAACACAATAACAAAAATCTACAAATAAAACAGCACAAAGGAATTCCATGCAGGATGCTTCATAAGAAGGATGCTACAACAAAACATATGCTACGTAGCTATTTCATTCATATTTCAATTGTTGAGGTCACATCTAAAATGATGTCAAATCAAAAAAAAAAAAAAGAAATGATAACAAAACGCTTATCAATACAATAATTGCTGCTGGCATATTCAGAGGGGGATGCTTGTTTCTAATGTTTTTTGTTGTTATTGTTTTTTCCACATCATCAAAACATAAATTCTAGAAAGTTAGATGCTACATACGAATATAAAGAGCAGAGCGTATGTACGTATGTGACACACACAATATATGTTTTTCGACTTACCAGCTAATCCAAAGACCACAACGGCAGGTACATAGAAGACAATATTTGGAATGCTTTGTTGGAATGGCGAGGCGCTACCGGTTAAATCGACCATATTGGAATTTTTGGAAAAATGAAAACTAAAACACCTTTTTGCAAAAAACCGAAATTAAAAATTGGCTTCCTGAAAGCTGCTGTCGTTTTTTTCTAACTGAACGCGCACCAAGAGTGATTGGCACCTAAGCTTGAAGCTGTGAATGAAGTAGTTTTTTCTTCTGCGGGGAATGGAGAGTGAACACACATTAGTGATGGAATTTATGTTTAAACAAACCAATCGATATTTATCGATAGTTGCTACAAGACATGGAAAGGGGAATATTTAAATTGTGATTAGCGAAACGTAACGCAACGTAGAGAATGTTATTATTACTAATAGAGAAATTAAACGTATTATTAAAATTATAATATTGATTTAAAAAAATAACGATTAACGGTTCATCAAAGCCCAGAATAAACAAATGTAGCCAGAATCTTGAAATTTGAGATAAGGCTGGGTTTTTGGAAATTCGTACTAGAAATGAGCGGAAAGTATTAAATTTGGTACCATTTGTATTTTGCGAATCGGTGGATCTCTGGAACTCTAAAATTTGAATTGAGGGCCATTGATGGAGTGTAAGATAGATGTACCAAATTCGAACTATTAGTATCCGAAAAATACTAAAATGTACTAAGCATGTAGCATGTGAACCGATAGAGCTAAAAACTTGAAATTTGGAATGCGAATCAAGATTAAGAAGTAGGGTGAAAGTGTGTACAAAAAGTACTAATCGGCACTAAATTTGATAAAATTCGAATTTGTTGGAAGGAATGGAGCTGGAATTCTGATGTCAGTTTGTGTTGGGATGTGCTCGACATCCTTTTTTATTGCCTTTTGACTAGGATTAGGCTTCGGGTCAGAGGTCAGCTTCGCACATTTCCGACGCCTGGAGATTGGAGATTTTTGACCAAGCTGTCTGTTTCTGCAGGGAGCTCCTGTTCATCTGGAGCTCACGATGAAAGGCGTGCTGATAAGTTCTTCAGTCCCGGTCTGCCTTTGAAGCTTATTATTGGCAATTGCCGACATCTGTTGGAGTCAGACTTGAATTCGGTCGATCAACAGGGTCTACACTTTCTTTGTTGATGCTACAGCAATCCTCCTGTATAGACTTGGCCAGAATCGACGTAGTGCCCAGCTCATCATTAATTTAGTGGCAGTTAATGTTCCACACTTTGCTCTTGACAAAGCTGTCGAAGAAACATTTTTCGACTATCGCGGATATTCCTCCCCTCCCAGAATAAGTCCTGTAAAGAACATTTGCAAAAGCATTTTAAATGAAATTAGGTGCCAAGGATATTGTGCAAAATCTTACTGGATGCTTGTGATCTAACCAACGATTGCCGCTGGTACTGGGTTATTAACTCCCTACACCTTAACTTTATTTTTCTTATTCCTCTTCCCCATCTTATTTAATTACAATAAGGGCACTACCCCTCATTTTGTCCAAATAGAACCAGGACACAGTGCTTATATAATTAGTTTGACGTACCAAAACCCTGCAAAACATCATTTTTTGCCAATATTTTTACCAAAATTTGATTTATAGACCATATTTGAAGTTTGATTTTTTTTTTATATAATAATCAAAGGGTAAAAATCCTAAATGTGTATTTTAAAATTTCTGTTGCAGTCAGAATTGGTGTGTAGTGTTGAAATTGGAGGTAGTTTTAATTACTATAAGAGAAAATTCAAATGATTAAATTTTAATTATCATATTAGTTTTTTAATTCCCACATTCGCAGAGTGCTGTATTGGTTTTTATTAATTTCTTAAATTTTAGGAACTATTAAAAATAACAGTTGCCTGTTTGCTAATTATTTTAAAATAGAGCAATAATATATTACAACCCATCTAGGGATTTTAAAAAAATTATCAGAATAAAATATGAGCATATTTAAAAAAAAAATCTTTAACAAAATAATGCTACATTAAATGGGGGCGGGTTCTTTAGTTGTTATCATTAGAGTAATTACTTGTTCAATTATGAAAACTATTTATGTAATTTGTGATAAGATTCTGAATACGGATTGATGTTCCCACGAACAAAGCATAAACGATCGGAACAACCATATGACAAAAAAGAAAAAAAAATACCAGTTATCAATCCCAATCTTAAAATTAATAACAATAATTCACTTAATCAAATTGTATTGACATACAATTTGGTTTCCTTGGCTATCTCCATATCGATGAAAGTTCGCTGTAGATGATAAGATATACAGTTAAGGGTATAATTGTGTAAAACTGATGTTTAAAACGATTAAAAAATCAAATAATTTTTGTGAAATTTGTGATCGTACTTTCGAATTTTTATATTCGGAGACAAGGGTTATGTCTAAATCCGAACAGATTTTAAGGAAACTTAATATAGATTATTATAGACGCAATTCACTACGCCATGCTAAATTTAGTCTCAATCGGACATACCTTGGGAGTTTGGTGACCCAATTAAAGACAAAGCTGGCATTCTAAAGAAATTAAGTGCTAGATTTTCTGTACAGCTCCTACACAGCCTATGGATGGATCTTTTATTCCGTCATCCTTTCAAAAACTGTTTGATATATCATCCGATTGGGATGGAGAAGATTATATCCCTCTTTCAGAGTTGCGTATTCCTTCAAATTTCCTATTCCGAAATTGCATCAAATTTCCTATTCCGAAATTGAGGAATGGATCGTTGGACCTAATCTGGCGCCCACAGCACAAAATAAAGAACACACCGATGATGACCTAGCCGACGATGCTGATAAAGAAATCGACGACGTTTGGTACACAGTACAAAGAAAGCTACACCGGAGGCGACTATATCAGCATTTAATATTTACTTAGAATGGGCGAAGCAAAGCAATGTTTAGAGGATATTATGACGCTCCAGAGACACAGAAGCAGTGTGTTGCTGAAAAAGCAAGTTTGCAAAAAACAAACAAAAATACATATTAAATTTTTTCGGTTCCACGTAAAATGTGTACTTATTTTTTTGAATTGACATATTAAAAATAATAAACTTGAATGCTAAGCAGATATTTACGTAAAATTGTATGGAAAATAATAACTCGGTTCCTGCGACAACCTCGAAACGTTCCCCGGCCGAACCTGGTTTTCATAACGGGCAAGAATCGAGACACTATTGCATTTTTGTATTACTTTTTGCTCGCCACTGTTAAATATTTTCGTTTTGTCCATTACATTTGTTTTTTTTTTATTAATTTATTGCATTATTGAAAATACTCACCTACATACATATGCAGGGATCACTGATCCATATTAAGAACGTGCTTATTCAATTATTGTGGTATTAAAAAAAACATATTTAGTAAACTGAATTGAATTCCAAAATGAAATCCAATTCAGTCGTTTAACAATCGGTCGGTCGGGCATAAAAATTTATCTTATTAACGCAATGAGAAGAGAAAAAAAATAACAATAATTGATTTGTGATAACCTGAAAAGAATGCCACATAAAAATAAACGGCATATCGATCTTATTTAAGATAAGAAGAATAAAAAAGCATTTTTAAGAATTTTAGTTTTCAAATATTTCATTTATTAAATCATTTCACAAAGAAGTCAAATTAATTTGATTCGTATACTTAAAAAGAGATTGATTGATTGTTAATGGTTACGGAAAACAGTGAAACGAGTGATTGTATGGATATACGAAAAGAAATAAACACAAAATTATAGTTTAAAGAAAATAAATTATAAATAGAGTATATAAAGTGCACACTAATCTCGTTTTTTTTTTGTGACCATATAATATGACTGTAATATCATCCGGAAATGAGGTGAGTTAAATTGGAAATATTTGTTATTATACATATTAGATAAAAATAAAGGAAAGGTTTGGGCAGCGTTTTCGTTTATAAATAATTTAATTTGGCCTGTTTGTTTTTCGTTTTCGATTATTACAATATCTATAGAGGCATTTACAAATTAGCAAAAAAGAAAACATACTCTGTATTTACATTAAAATGTTTGGTTATTTCACAAAAGTTCATATTATAATTTATAAATACAAATACATATATAAAGCATTAAGTCTTGATTTTCTGGTTGTTGTAGGTTTTTGTTATATAGTCTCTATTACTGACACAAGTTATTATTTATTTTAAAATACCACAGATTGATCCACCAATTTATAGCCTTGCCCAGCAAAACTCTTGGGGGGATAACACACAAATAGACCCAATTGCATTAGGGATAGAATACAGCCCAAGAAATTTGGTATCTGAAATGGAAAAAAATGGGAGAAATTATTATCTTTTAATTAACCCTTTGTAGCCCAATGTTGCCCCCAGGCAACAAAATGTTTTAGAGCTAGTAAATATATATTATTTGGATTTCATATGTCAAGACCTGATTATGGACGACACATATCAAAAGAAAAATCAAACAACTTCAAAATTTTGGTAAAGTTATGAGCTTTTCAATATAGAGAAGAGGGTAAACTTGTGTACAGTACTAATTTGTGTATACAGTCCATATTATTTAAATCGCTTCGTATTCAAATTGTACGAGTTGTGCCATAATTTTTTTTTTTTTTTTGATTCTTGTAAAAATTAATATAGAGAATAATTTAAACTGACTGAAATAATATACTGTATCTCCCGAATGCAAGGAAACCGATAGTTAATTACCCAATTAAATTTATTTTACATTTAAATTCCTCAAATTCACTTACCTGTATAAATGTATCGGATATAATAACACCATATATGAGCCACTGTACCGATACTAAAAATGACATAATAATCAATGGAAAAGGCATACTTTCTGAGTTCTTAACTCGTATCACATGTAAGAGATTTGCCAGAGGTGCAGCAAAGAATGTTACCGTGACGATACAGCAAACAATGCCTTTGAAAAATTTAGAGATATTGATTATTAATTGTGAAAAGAAATTACAATTATTATTATTTTTTTTTCTTACCCATAAAATTTTGAGCATGCTGAATTTCTGGTATTGTATTTATATAGAATGCAATGCCACATAATGCTGTCAGCACAAACAGGAACATTTTTACATAGGCATTTTTATTTACAGTAAATACATAATAGATTAGTGTATAAATTAAAAATAATGTAACACCAATGCAATTAACCAATACCACTGTGTGTTCATTGCTTAGCATGCCATAGAGTACCCAATAGCTACAGCTGTAAGAAAATAGATATGGAAATAAAAATTAGATAGATTATTTCTCTGGAATTGAGTTAAATTTAGGTAGTAGTACTAGTAAATTTTATTGAATCAAATATTAAGAGGAAGTTGAGTTTTTTTTTCTCCAAAATTTTTACCACAGATAGGTTTCGTCTCCCAGATCATGAAAATATTCGACTAAGGTATATGTTCTTATCAAATAGTTGATCATCTGTGGAGAAGAAGTTGCTCTATAGAAATATACCCATTGTGGGGAAGGTACTCGAAGGAATGATTTTAATAAATTTTAGTACGAAGATATGTTATACAATGAGAATTAACATACTAAGTTACAGCCATTTTGAATGAAAAACGTTTCAAAAATTTCCAAAATACCGAATATTGGCGGATTTCGCTATATGGGGGCTACCCTGAAATTTGAGTACGGAGGTGTACTATACAATAAAAAACCAAAATACTAAATTACAGGCAATTTTGTTGAAAACCCTATTCAAAATCGCCAAATACGGAATATTGGAGGGTTCGGTTATATGGGGGGCTATCCTAAAACGTGGGTCAATATTAGTAATTTTTTGTATGGAGATGTGCTATACAATGAGAACAGAAAATAGCAAATTACATCCGGTTGAAAAAAGGTGTCCGAAATCGCCGAATTCCGAATATTGGGGGATACCGTTATATGGGGTCTAACCTGAAACGAGGGTCAAAATTAATAATTTTTTGGTACGGAGATGTTCTATACAATGAGAAACAAAAAAATTCTTTGTCAACAAATTCGGTTGAAAATGTGTCCAATGCCTAATAATGGGGGTTAAAACAAAACGTAGACCGATATATCCCATTTGCAGTACAAAACAGTATAGGAGTACTAGCAATGTCTGTGCAAAATTTCAAAGCTCTATCTTAAATATTGTGATCTCTATTGAGATTTTAACAGACGGACTTTATACTTTGTGGGGTCTACGGTGAATGTTTCGAGGTGTTCCCAACAAAACAAAATACCACCTTCAATTCCAAATAATGCAAATATTCATATTAGCTTCATATTATGAATACAATTTAAAATAAATTCATAATTAAATATACACAAATCCTTCAAGTGCCAGCTACTGGTACATTCACCATATATGTCTATATGGGGAAACCGAAATTCTTCCATTTGGAATTTTGTGTTTCATTCTTTTTTTCTTATTAACTCCTTTCCTTTCTGGCTCACGTCCACTAAAGTTAGAATGTTCAGAGCCATGTCTCCATGCGCAGCTAAGCTACAGATTTGACTTTCTCCATTGCTGGTGATTTATGTTTCTTGTTCATAGGTCGACTCGAACGTCTTTTAGGAATTTTACCACAATTTTCAAACTTTCTAAGCCTAGTGAATTTGTGAAGTCTTCAAGTGTGGAGAAATCACATAGATCCTGAAAGCATCTTCTTGTATTATTAAACTTACGACATCCAGAGATTATATATGCGTCCGTTTCGGCTTCTCCGCAGTCCTCCCATACGTTATCTGGTATCACATTAATTTTGGCTAAGGTGCTCTTGCAGAAACGGTGACGGATTCTATTGATTTGCTTTTGTGACAAAAAGGGTTCAAATTACAATTTTTAAACCAGTGTGTTCTTGTCAGTGAGTGAAAGGTTTTTAAAAAGAAGGTAGAAGGGAGTTACCATTGCTTGCTACTTGCACATAATCATAACCCCATTCAAAATGTTTCATTTTCAATACAAAGAATAATTCATTCAGCCAGTTTCAGATTGTCACAGCCGAAAATCAGCCATTCTAAAGAAAACTGCATTTGGTAATGTTGCAATTGATTTCCATGTAAACAATATTATGCGATTTTAAAATCATATTTTACCTCCAATACACTTAAATCAACACAGTCTACCTACAATGTAGTGTGGTGGCGATAGATAATATTGATCGAACGTTTGCTTACGTTGCAGACATGTCATACGATAGGTAGTCGCCGTAGTAGATGGTAATATGTAAGTTCATTGATTAATATATAAAAAACATAATTTAATCCACTTACGATAGGAAACCGCAGATAAATGGAAACCCCGAAGAATCTCCAGTACTTTTCTTGCTAATATATTTACGGCAGATGATGCTAAATTTTTCAAAAAAATAAAGACAAGACAAAACATTAATTTAAATTAAAAATAATGTAGTCGTACTTACGCTCCGGAAAGATACTGCAAAACCGTTGTTATAACGGATGTCAGCTCCAGTAGTGCAATAAAATTTTCCACACTTTTCATGACGTCTTCGTGTTTGTTTGCTCAGCCGGGCCGGATATTTTTGCCGCAATCTTTGTCGCTTGTTTATTCAAGGAATTATTGCAAATTGACTCAACTATTTCGGATTTGGTGATAGTATTTAAAATCTCATATTTTTTGTTGTTATTTAGGGGAATTTGTGGTTTGCTGTTTATCAATCTCTCCCTCTCTCAATCACAAATTAAGGTTTTAATTGTTTTATTACTACCTTTCCCTCTGAAATGATGATTATTGTAAACTTGTTTATCAGATATTGATTTCACATAATTGTTTTGTTAAACACAGCGGTTTTATCTTGCTTCTGGCACTTACCAATGGAAACAGTTTTCGTGTTGAATCAAGCAAAATTAAAAACGTTCCATTTGCTACGAATGGGGAGAGTAGAGAAAGTGGCCGATAAAAAAGGAACCCAAAGTGGAAAAGGGGAACATTTACGAATGAAGTGTGATGAACACCGTTTAAAAAGCGGTATTGTTGAGAAAGAGGACACGGTGAGACTTGCCGATTAGGGATACCGCAAGTCGGCGATAATGGCAGCACAATCGATAACAAATGTTGATTTCGATAATACTATGTTCTCACGGTCATTTGAACGAAGTTCAAATCGATTAACGTATATAAAATAACCCATTCATACGACACTATTCTTAAATTTCTTAAAATGTATTAAACTTTCGACTAATGGGTTAATCGAACCCTGCTGACAGTAGCAACACGTAATGCGAGAGAGAATTATCGGGAGAAAAGGAGAGAAAAGAAACGTTGAGGATCTGGAAGGAGTATTTTGCAAAGCTTCTGATATCAAATAGTGACGGTGAAGAAGATGCACCATAACCAATAAGAGATGGCGGTATAGAGTGTATACCACATAGCCAAGATTAGTTCCGAATAGCAATCAATCGGCTGAAGAATAATAAAGCAGCAGGTGCCCATGGGTTACCAGTCGAACTATTCAAGACTGGTTGTCAAATGCTGGTCTAAACCCAATGGTCAATGACATTATTGGATCATATCAATGCGACTTCAGACCTGAAAAATCCACCATTGACCAGATTTTCACTCTGCGCCAAATACGTAAAAGACCCATGGAAAACACATCGACACATTCCACCTATTCGTAGACTATAAAGCCGCATTCGACAGCCCTATCTGTTCAGAGGTGTTTCAAGTCATGTCTGCGTTCGGTATTCCTGTAAAATTAATATGACTATGCAAAATAACTTTAACTGGCACAAGGTCAGCAGTTAAAGTCGGAAAGGATCTCTCAGAGACTTTTAATACCGTACGGGGATTCAGACAAGGTGACAGTTTGTCGTGTGACCTTTTTAACATCCTGCTGGAAAAGGTCAGAGATGCAAATATGTACACCAAACACCACATGTTCCTCGCCTATGCCGACGATATCGACATAATGGGTCGAATATTGCGAGCGGTAACAGCCACCTTTGAACAAATTGAGAAGGAGCCTGCAAAAATGGGACTGGCAGTAAATAGCGAGAAGACCACTCTGATGGTATCAACTCGCAAGACGTCCAACTGTGGAACTTGAGAACTACAGCTTCGAGATAGTCCAAGATTTTATATAACTTGGTACCGCGAGAAGATCACTCTGATGGTATCAACTCGCAAGACGTCTAGTAGAATCGGACCAACTGTGGAACTTTAGAACTACAGCTTCGAGATAGTCCAAGGTTTTATATAACATGGTACCGCCATAAACAAAACTAATGAGGATAGTGTTGCCAACAGATGCTACTCCTGCCAGACCAAACTCACTCTCTACAAGACACTGATACTATTCGTGTTGTTATATAGGGATCTGAAGCATGGGTACTTTACGCAAGCAGACGAGGCAGCTCTTGGAGTGTTTGAGGGAAAATTTCTCCGGAAGATCTATGCGCCGATCAGCGTTGGCGATGAATATCGAATGAACCACGAGCTTTACCACCTATACACGGACATCGACATAGTTTGCCGTATCAAGTTGCAGCGACTAAGGTGGCGAATGTATGAGGATGCCTTTTCTCAAAAGGCATATTAAAGCGAGCCTACTGATGGTTCTAGAAGAAGGGGAAGGCCACGGATTCGAAGAAATGATAAATTATGGTATTTCATATTGGAAAAACTGCGCAAAAGAAAGTTGCGCCTTTTGATTGCGCATCGATTGCACATCGTAATACTTTATCCTATATATATATATATATATATATTTTATAACGTGATACCCGTTATAGCGACTGTATACAAAGTACCGAGAAACGTTTTTTTCCTTTGATATCGTTTATAACGACACATCGCTTATAGCGAGAACCTTGACCTTCGTTGTAAGCAATTTTGACTCTATATATCCGCTGAATATTTCGTACACATATTTATATACCCTAGTGTACTTATGAAGAAGAAAACGAACGTTTTCATTTGAGAATGGTAGTCCATCTAAATATTGCTGGTGCCGCATGTTATGGCTGTACTAAAAAATTAACCGACGTATTTCGTTTTTAACTCCAATATTATATATAAAATGTATTAAAAAATCGGTGATCCTTAAAAATGTTTTTTTTAATCTATGTTGCTAATAAACAACCTTTTTGCCCCCTCAACATTTTTTTTCTAAAAATATTCACGCTTGCTCTGGTTATTCTAAAATATTCATGATTGCTCCAAGAAATGTTATTCAAAACAACCTTCTGTGGATCCTTAAAAAATCTTGAAAACCTATTCTTAAAGAAATCCACGCTTCTGTGGATCCTTAAAAAATCTTGAAAACCTATTCTTAAAGAAATCCACGCTTCTGTGGATCCTTAAAAAAATCTTGAAAAACTATTCTTAAAGAAATCCACGCTTCTGTGGATCCTTAAAAAAATTTTGAAAAACTATTCTTAAAGAAATCCACGCTTCTGTGGATCCTTAAAAAATATCCTTTAAGAAATCCACGCTTCTGTGCATCCTTTAAAAATACCCTTTAAGAAAACCACGCCTCTGTGCATCCTTAAAAAATATCCTTTAAGAAAACCACGCTTCTGTGGATCCTTAAAAATATCCTTTAAGAAATCCACGCTTCTGTGGATCCTTAAAAAATATCCTTTAAGCAATCCAGGCTTCTGTGGATCCTTAAAAAATATCCTTTAAGAAATCCACACTTCTGTGCATCCTTGAAAAATATCCTTTAAGAAATCCACGCTTCTATGGGCTCTTAAAAAATAATCTGTAAAAAATCCACGTCTTAATTGCCCTTGAGAAAATATTATTTTCAAAATCAGAGCGTTGATAGTCCTTGAGAAAATATTCGTTAAAAAATCAAGGCCTTTCTCATGGACTATGAGAAAATAGTCGTTAAAATATCAAAGCCTTCATAGTCCTTGAGATAATACTCTTTAAAAAATCAGAGCCTTGATAGTTCTTGAGATAATATTCTCATAATCAGAGCCTTGAGAAAATATTCTTCAAAAAATCTGAGTCTTGATAGTCCTTTAGAAAATATTCTTTAAGAAAATCAGAGCCTTGATAGTCCTTTAGAAAATATTTAAAATATCCACGCTTTGATAGTCCTTGAGAAAATATTCTCCAAAAATTGTAGGTGCCTAAAAGTATGCTACATTTTTTGAGAACGGGTTATTTTTATTTATAAAATAGCAAATGTTTTTTTATTAAAAAATCTTACAACACATTCAAAAAATAATTATCAGTAGTGTTACAATAACAACAAATATATATTTTTAATTGATAATTTATATTTTATTTAATAATGATTGATCTAATATCATTGACCACAAATCACTGTACTTTTGGGAAGCTTTCCATAATGAAAAGTTCTACAATTGTATAGAACTTGTTTTCATATTTGCCAAACTGAGCAGCAGCCGCAGAACAGCTGTTCGCGGCGCTCATTTTGGGGGGCAGCACAAAATATAAATGAACGTCAAAGGAAAGTTTAGTCGACATTACGCTATGTAATTGCAATCATTTTCGTATTGTCTGTTCGCGAGCTTAGTGGTGGATCTCGTCGTGGCCGCCGTTGTCGTCGTCTCTCAAATCTATAAAAAGAAATATGATAAATACAATAAGGAAATCATTTTTTGCATAAACTTACCAACGCATATTTCCACCATTACCATCACATACAAATATAATAATAATGTCAAAGTGTAAATCAGAATCAGATTTGTTAAGTAAATTCTGAAAAATAAACACCTAACAAAAATATTAACTACCTACCGAGGGCAAGGCTAGCAGCCGGACTGAGTTTGTCGCTGAAAACAGCTGTTCGTTTGGTGGTCTCGTCGCGTTTCGTTTGTCTTCCTCGCAGCAAAAAAGAAATTGTAGAATACACGTGAAATTTTTCGGTCTTGTTTTTTTCTGTTCGTTTTGGTTCATTCACACCCTACATACCTACATACATCTTGCTTACGTTTTACAACAAAACAAAAACGCCGATAGACAAACAAAAATATACATACGTACAAATTATATACTACTCTACTATTTTCTGTTTATATAAATATATAGAAAATTGAAAATAAAAACAAAAACCAACAACAACAAAAATGGATCGCAATAGCATCGGCCATCACAACGAAGAGTCTCATCAATTGTATCCCAAAGGTGAAAAAATCGAAATATCTGTAAGAAATGACCATCGAAGCAACCGGGATATTCCTTCGACATCGACGAAAGTTACAAATTTGGAGGTTTGTATACGCTCCCCAAAGGAAGTTGGGTGAAAACCTGGGAACAACTCTAGTTTAGTAAAAACGATCAAATTTTTCTGAAATTTTTTCCAGAGGTAGGTATTTTTACCCTAATTATGGGGATATATTTTTTTCTTGGGGGACGCACCCGGTTACCCGGTTATTTGACCCGGAAGTTCGGGTACGGGTACCCGGTTATATCCGGTTCTACGGATCCGGTTAATATAATATGGGTATCATTTTAAAGGTTATAAAAATACCTTTCCATTGAGTGGTAATATGATGGGGTTATCTCAAACCATTTTGGGGATATAGTCAAAAAACTGGGTTTTGGGCCCCGATTTTTTTGAAAAACTCCCTAAAAGTCGAACTTGGGTCCATTATAGTCCCTCTCCAAACAGGACCCAAATGATAGCCCTTTCCAAAATGGTGCGATATGTGGCTGTATCTGTTGTGGATCAAAAGATATGGGCCTTAGAACCCTATAAAACAAGGAAAATCTTTCTACATGACAGAATCTCCTTTTAAATAGCATGGTGTTTTTTGGGTGACCGGCCTTCGGCCGGGGATTTAAGACTTTCTCCTATGGACAGATGCCAACACCGGCTAACGCGGCAGAAACTCCTTCTAAATAGAATATTTTTTTGTGTAGCCGGGTATTTAAGACTTTCTCCTATGGACAGATACCAACACCGGCTACGCGACAGAATCTCTTGTTAAATGGAATACTTTTTTGGGTGACCGGCCTTCGGCCGGGGATTTAAGACTTTCTCCTATGGACAGATGCCAACACCGGCTAACGCGGCAGAAAATCCTTCTAAATAGAATATTTTTTTGTGTAGCCGGCCTTCGGCCGGGGATTTTAGACTTTCTCCTATGGACAGCTACCAACACCGGCTACGCGACAGAATCTCTTGTTAAATGGAATATTTTTTTGGGTGACCGGCCTTCGGCCGGGGATTTAAGACTTTCTCCTATGGACAGATGCCAACACCGGCTAACGCGGCAGAAAATCCTTCTAAATAGAATATTTTTTGTGTAGCCGGCCTTCGGCCGGGGATTTAAGACTTTCTTCTATGGACAGGTACCAACACCGGCTACGCGACAGAATTTTCTTGTTTTTGTAGGGTTCTAAGGCCCATATCTTTTGATCCACAACAGATACAGCCACATATCGCACCATTTTGGAAAGGGCAAAATGTGGTCTATCATTTGAGTTTGGGTTAGAGAGGTACTATAATGGGCCCAAGTTCGACTTTTAGGGAGTTTTTCAAAAAAATCGGGGACCAAAACCCAGTTTTTGACTATATCTCCAAAATGGTTTGAGATAACCCCATCATATTACCACTCAATGAAAAGGTATTTTTATAACCTTTAAAATGATACCCATATTATATTAACCGGATCCGTAGAAACGGATATAACCGGGTACCCGTACCCGAACTTCCGGGTCAAATAACCGGGTAACCGGGTACGTCCCCCAAGAAAAAAATATATCCCCATAATTAGGGTAAAAATACCTACCTCTGAAAAAATTTTCAGAAAAATCTGATCGTTTTTACTAAACTAGAGTTAAGCCAAAACCTGTTTTGTAATTATTCTGCAGTCACGTTAGCTGTTAACATGTGTACTTATATAGTGGGCTTTTGTGGTGGGGTACTACATACTTTCTTCAGACAAGTTTTGTATTAACATACAAATTTGCAATATACGCGCACAATTGTACACGTTTTATTGTAGACATTAAGGTGGTACCCAAACAAAAAAAAAAGTGATTTAAAATATGTTTTTATATTTGACCCACATTTGTGCAGATATATTACTCTACTCCTAGGACGTTTGGTATTGGTATTCTACGCGAGTGGGTAGAAAATCTTTCTAGTAAAAATTATTGGAACAAATACACTATACAGACATCTCGCAGATCATTATTTTTTATTTTTTTTCCATAGGTAGTCCTTCTGATGTTGATTACAACTACATACATTTCTCAGTACTTCATGAGATATGGGGCTCCAAACCCCCACATTTTATTAAATATCTTTAAGAATACCACTCCGAAACGTTTGAAATTGTTACTGCATATAGTCCTTTTGGTGCTGATCACAACCACACACTTCATACTTCAGGAAATATGGGGTATACAAATTTGAATTGATACCGGGCGTTTAAGACTCTCACTTTCTGCTACGCGAGCAGAAATTTCTTTTAATTTGAAAAATTTTCAGAGTAGCCGGCCGGAATTTGAATTGATACCGGGCATTTATGACTCCACTTTTCTGCTACGCGAGGTGAATTTTCTTTTAATTTGAAATTTTTTCAGAGTAGCCGGCCGGGATTTAAAGTCTATTTCTTATGGACATGTGAAACATTGGGCTACGCGAGCAGAATTTTCTATAATATTATTATACCCTTCACCACATTGTGGTACAGGGTATTATGTCTTTGTGCATATGTTTGTAACAGGCAAAAGGAACTGAGATAGACACATGGTTTAGATATAGCTCCCATATATAGTTTCGTCCGATTTAAAGTAAATGGTGCGCCAAAGTCCTTATATATCATTCGATTTGCACGAAACTTGGCATAGAGTACTGAATTAGGTCCAGAATGACGTGTGCCAAGTTTCGAGGAAATTGGTTCAGATTTATATATAGCTGTCATATATATTTTCGTCCGATTTAAGGTAAATGGGTCTCCAAAGTCCCAATATATCTTTCGATTTGCACGAAGGTTGCCATAGGGTACTGAATTGGATCCGAAATGATGTGTTAAAATCGGTTCAGATTTAGATATAGCTCCAATATATATTTTCGTCCGATTTAATGTAAATTGTGCACTAAAGAACCAAAGATTGGCCGACCCGCACACATTTTGTACAATGTACTGAAGTTACTATAACCTTTCGTGTGTCAAGTATTCTTGAAATTGGTTCAGATTTACATATAGCCTCTATATACTTTCGTCCGATTTTAAGTAAATGGTGTACTAAAGACCCATAACTAGGCCGATTGGCAAAACGTACTGAAATTAATATAAATTAATATCGGCCAAGTTTCCTTGAAATCGGTTTAGATATAGATATAGAATAGCTTCCATATATAATATCGACCTATTTATGTTGATTGTAAACTATATAACCAATGGGTGCTTGATTGATATTACATTTTAAACAGTGAAGCATAAAAAGTGCAGTTTGCTTAAAGTCTATTTACAAAGTATGGAATAGATTGCAGAATGGCATGTGTAAGGATTGATGTTAGTCGGTTTAGTTTTATATAAAGATCGCATTTTTAAGTTCGTTCAATTTCATGTCAATGTTCCTTCAAAAAGACGCCATCTGTAAAGATACATATGTAGAATATCCCCAAAGTGGTGAAGGGTATCATATAGTCGGCCCAGTCCGACTTTACTACTTTCCTTACTGGTTTTTTTAAAGACGGCCGTATTAATTTTACAGGAATGTCGAACTCAGACATGGCTTTAAACATCTCTAAACGGATAGGGCTTTCGATTTGGCACAGAGTGAAAATCTGGTCAATGGTGGAGTTGACAGGCCTGAAGCCGCATTGGTATGGTCCAATAATGCCATGGAGTATTGGCTTCAGTCTTTCACTCAGAACGCTGGAAAGCACTCTATAGTTGGCACATATAGCCTTGTATCCATTTTTGTGCACGGAAGACAGGATGCTGAGGTTCCAATCATTGGATATTCATTCCTCTGGCCAAATTGTACTAATCAGCTGGTGCAAGATTCTAACCAGCATCTGACCGCCAGTCTTGAATAGTTCGGCTGGTAACCCATCGGCACCTTCTGATTTATTATTATTCAGCCGATTGATTGCTAATCTGGCTAGGTGGTATACACTCTATACCGTCATCTCTTATTGGTTCTGAGGTATCTTCTTCACCGCCACTATTTGATACCAAAAACTTTTCAGAATGCTCCTTCCAAACCTCTACACGCTGTCTGTATCTGCCACTAGGTTTCCTTCTTCATCTCTACAGGAGGATGTGCCTGTACCAAAGCATTCGGTTTGGTATTTTACTCGTTCTGACTCCTGTACATTTTGATTTGCTCACGGTCACGTTTTTCTTGTTTTTTCTTCTTTTTTATACCCTCAGCTTTATGGCTCATGACGGTATATACACTTTGATACGGTAAAAATTGTGCCTCATCGAAATATTGGTTTTAGACCCCATGTTTCTTTGGACCAAATCTGTTTCAGAAAATTTAGAGCCGATTTACACATGTCAGTTCGTTGTCTGTCTGGCTGGATGGTGCGCACGATAAATCTCGAAGGGAATAATCGATTTGATCCAAACTTTGCACATCATACTATTTATTTCAAACTTAGTTTAAGTTCGAAGAAGGGGAATATCGGTCCACTCCTTCTGGTACCTCCCCCATAAATGATCTAAATTTTCAATATTTATAAATCCAATATTAGGCGAATGGTGGAATGTCCAATTTGAACCAAGCTTTGCAATACCAAGTCCGAAGATGGGATCCATTGGTGCACTCCTTCTGGTACCTCCCCCACAAATGGTGAACATTTGCAATATTTATAAATCCAATATAAGGCCAATGGAAAGTCGCATTTGAACCAAATTTTCACAACCTATTATCTTTACCAAGTCCAGGTCATTTGCAATATTTATAAATCCAAAATCAGGCGATTGGAATGCCCGATTTGAACCAAACTTCACAACCTATTATCTTTACCAAGACTAGTACAAATCCGAAGATGGGATCGTTTATAAATGTAATATCAAGCGAAAGAAATGTCATATTTCAACCAAAACTTGCACAACCTATTATCTTTACCAAGTCCGAAGATGGTACCCAGTAGTCCACTCCTTCCGGTACCTCCTTCACAAATAGTCAATATTTCATAAAATTTTATGAACATTAAATGAACAATTTTATTTAAACAGAAATTTCAATAAATTTTTCCATCAGAAGTTAGAACATCCACGCGATCATTCGAAAACTGAATCGATTCTAAGTATATGTTTCAAGTCAATGGAAGCTACCAATTTTATATTGAAGCTCTCCATGTTATTCTTATTGTAACTGCTCTGACTTTAATTTAGTGTGCTGTTGGTTGCGAAATTAATTTAGATATAGATAATTCCAATTTCACATTACAATAACCTTTACATGGATATCAACTGTATTTGCCTGTTATGAATTATATTAGTTTACCACAATTTATTCTAGACATATTTTGAATATACTAGTCATATTTAATGTAACGAAAACACTACCTTCATATTTTGTAAAAAAAGTACAAGTTTCGTTTACTGCTCAGTACCCTCAAATTATTTTAAAAGTTCGGAAAAAATTAGATCGTATTACGTAGAATAAACCATTTTTAATTATATCTGATACGATTTTATATATAAGCCTAGCAAATACTATATATTCATATACCTGAAGTTCATTGACAAGGGCAAATTGTGCATGAAATAGAATGAATTGCATTATCATTATCCGGTTTCAGTGGTGCATAGCGGGCAATAAAATTCAGATTTGTTTGCTTTAACAAAATCCATATATGAGTGGACGCCAGTAGGCACAGTTTATAATAGACCTCTTATTTTTTAGACCTTTCAATGGTTGATTCACCATCATACTTTATAATATTTCGTAAAATACGATAAGTTATTTACTTTTTTTATAATACCATATGACCATATATGTATGTACACATACGTATAAAAGTTCATTATCATTACAGGTTTATTTCATTGCTGGTGCTGGCTGACTTAGATAATAATAAAAGAAATATAATTCTTTGATTACTCATTTATTGTTGACGTTTTTTGTTCATTCTTTTATATGGATATAACGATTGCTATTTATCGCTTATTATCATTTTGTAGAATGTGGGGCATTGGTATTTAAACTCAATGTTCCTAGTAGGTGTGTAATGTAAGTAGTGGAGAATTTAATCGTTTTTAATACGATCGCTCTCTCTGTTTGAGATCTACATTTATTTGAAATTTGATTGTAATCATTTTAATTGTTTTATAAATTTATTTCAATATTGCTCCATAAAGACGTGGTTTAATAATATCATTAGAAATATACCTCGGGTAGTAACAATTCGATTACACGCCAATAAAACAAGTAGCCTACCAAGATTGAGAGCTATTTGTTTCTATGTAGGAAAATTTTCAGTTAATAAAAATTTGTTCCGGAAAATAAATAGGGAAGTTCTGATAAACCTTTGGTGGACAAAAAAGCAGGTGGGCTTCTTAAAAATTTTAAAAATTATATATTTTTTTAAAGAAAAATAAAGTTGAGTGGTCTACATTGTGGCTATAAATACATTGTAGAACCACTTAGTATGCTAAATAACAATAAATTTCCTAGTTATTATCTTGAGAAAGTGCGCCAGGATAAATCTGTTGAATAAAACCGAGAAATGAATAGATTTATTCGATTTAGAAGATATATGAGGGCGTATGATTATTGTCAACACGTATACGCCCATGACATTTAATGTAGCATGGGCCGTATGAATAATGCCGTAACGTATACGCAATTCATATTTTTCAAATTAAAAAAAATTTTTTGGGTGATATTTTAATATTTAACCAAACCCTGTGTGTTGGGTAGATAGTAAAATTAATATGTGCATATCTTAGAGACAAATTGTCAGACGAGAAACCTCGGCCGATGAATAGATTAGTAGGATTTAGAAGAAGATAAAACTGTAGAGCTTCCACATAGGTTGGTGTGGTATGCATATATGGGATTGCAATCACTAGTTCTTCTCTTCTAACAGACGGAAAGGAGTCGAAGTAATGTTTGCATCCTTGAGAAAGCTTGACACCATACAGCAAATTCAATTTCACCACTTTTTTTTTAATTATAATGTGAATGTCCGTATGATTGTTATCGACAAGTATACGCCAATGAAATTTGATTTATCAGAGGTCGTATGAATATTGTCATAATGTATACGCAATTCATAAATAAGAGATTTTAAAACTTAAAAACTATTTTTTATTAGGTCGCATTTTAATGGATTTAATGTTGAAAAATAAGTTGTGAACGTAAAGACTAGAAAATCGGCAAGAATCAAACCCTCGATTTTGGATAGATAGTAAAATGTAATTTATATATCCTTCAGAAAAATTTTCAGACGAGAAACATCCGTCGGTGAATCTTTTAATGCAATTTAGAAGAAGATAAACGTGGTAAAGCTACCACATAGGTAATTGTGGTATACAAATATGGGATAAAACCCATTACCACATCGATTTCTACGTCAACAGATAATTTGCCGCATGCAAAGATCCGAACAGTCATTAGACCTTACTTTTATTCGAAAATAATAAATTGTAATATCGAAATATGATTAAATGGGTTCTTCAAAAACATGAAATTCTTGATCGGGGTAAAATTCTCAGACGATCTAGCCATGTCAGCCTGTTGTAATTACGCTATCTTCTAAAGGAAGATAGGCATAGCCCCCATATAAGGGTACCCTCATTTTTCGGTATTTTGGGGTTCTTGAGCGCATTCTTCAACCGAATTCGCTGAAATTTGGTGCATTGGGTACTAAATGTCTGCAAAAAAAATATATATAAATATAGGTCCACTTTTTCTGGTAGCCCCCATATAACTGCACCTCCTAATTGTCAATATTTCGGCGGTTTTGATCGCATTTTTCCACCGAAATGGCTGTAATTTAGTAGTTTGAGTTCTTATATAGGTCAATTTTTTTGGATAGCCCTAATATAAAGGATTTTTTCGGTATTTTGGGGTTCTTAAGTTCGACGCATTTCCAAGCAAAAAAAAAATATATATTTCAGAATCCCAATTTTTCATTTCATATTCGAAAGCATAACTAATGTTGAAATTTCCTCACGATCGGGAAAAATAAAGTGTGCTTACAAACTATTCTAGAAAGGTCGTAATGACTTTTTAATTAACATGTTTTTTGTTGGTTTCTTTAATATTCAATATTTCCATGTAGTTAATACGAAATAAATTAGATTAATAATATGATTTATATGTATATTTAAATTCAAAATGTCTGCGATCTTTTTTGATTTATTACTATTGCTAAAAATATAATTTAAGGAGACGACTGCTGCGGGGTTATTGTTCACTGATAACATTATACTCCATCATTAAAATGTCGTCAAATTCCTAAATATTGGAATTAATAAAAACAAAATACATATGTAGTTCTTTATATGTATATGTGTCGCTCAAAACGTGACTTATGCGATCTGCTGTTTAATATATAATTAATAAAAATTGTTTTTTTTTTCTTTTGCAGAAACCACGTTGGGGTAAACTCTTGACGTTGGTTGGTTATGCGGCAACATTTGGCTCAGCTGTACCCGTAGGTTATTGTATTGGTGTTATAAATAGTCCTGCAAATGTAAGTATAGCTTTGGGAATTTGTCTTGTGGTTCTTTGTTGAAATTTTTTTTTTCAAATTTTTCCAGTATGTTAAAGCCTGGTGTGCTCAAAGCCTTTTGGAACGTTACGATGCCAATATGACAACATCTGGTTTAGATCTATTATGGGCCTCAATTGTTTCGATATTTTTAGTTGGCGGTGCTGTCGGTTCGTTGGGCGGTGCATGGGCAGCCAATAAATTTGGAAGGTAAGAAAATTCTATAAGATCATCATGATTGCTTTTAGTTGGACGATAGAAGATTGAGCGAAATTTTAGAAGACTTGGTCTGGCAGCTTCAGCCAATCACAACCGAGAACATGAATAGTTGATCGCAGGTCTACGAAATAAACATAGTAGTTTGAGTTCTCAATAGGTATCAATTCTCTGCACAAAAAATTGTGAATATAGGTTCATTTTTTCGGATAACCCCTTTTATAAGGGTACCCTCCAATTTTCGGTATTTTGGGGTTCTTGAGCGCCTTTTCAATCGAATTCGCTGTAATTTGGTATTTTGTAGTTGTATTTGATAACAAATCTCCCTACCAAAAATTAATAATATTAGCCCCTTTTTTGGGGTAGTCCCCATATAACCCCTTTTTTATACCCTTCACGACACTGTGGTACAGGGTATTATGTCTTTGTACATATGTTTGTAAACAGGCAAAAGCAAACGAGATAGACACATGGTTCCTTTTGAGAATATGCATATAATCACTTTCTGAGTCGATTTATGCATGTCCGTCCGTCCGTCTGTCTGTCGATGTTAAATTGTAAACAAAGTATAGGTCGCATTTATAATCCGAATTGGATGAAAATTCGCATAGGTCACTTATTTGGCCCAAGGACGAACCCTATTGAAATTGGGAAATAGCTCCCATATATATATTTTCATCCCATTTAAGGTAATTGGTGTACCAAAGTCCCTATATATCATTTGATTTGCACGAAATTTGGCATAGCGTACTGAATTGAGTCTAGAATGTATTGAGCTAAGATTCGTGAAAATCGGTTCCGATTTAGATATAGCTCCCACATATATATTATCGTCCGATTTTAGGTAAATGGTGTACCAAAGTCCCTATATATATTTCGATTTGCACGAAATTTGGCTTGGCGTACTGAGTTGAGTCTAGAATGATGTGTGATATGTTTCGTGAAAATCGGTTCAGATTTAGATATAGCTCCCATTATATTTTCGTCCGATTTTAGGTAAATGGAGTACCAAACTCCCTATATACATTTCGATTTGCTGGAAATTTGGCATGTCGTTCTAAAATGAGTCTAGAATGATGTGGCTAAGTGTCGTGAAAATCGGTTCCGATTTGGATATAGCTCCCACATATATTTTCGACCGATTTAATGTAAATGTTGCACAAAAGTCCCTATATATCTTTTGATTTGCACGAAATTTGGCATGGCGTACTGAGTTGAGTCTAGAATGATGTGTGCTATGTTTCGTGAAAATCGGTTCAGATTTAAATATGGCTCCAATTTATATTTTAGTCCGATTTTAGGTAAATGGGGTACCAAGCTCCCTATATACATTTCGATTTGCACGAAATTTGGCATGTCGTTCTAAATTGAGTCTAGAATGATGTGTGCTAAGTTTCGTGAAAATCGGTTCCGATTTAGATATAGCTCCCACATATATATTTTCGTCCGATTTTAGGTAAATGGTGTACCAAAGTCCCTATATATATTTCGATTTGCACGAAATTTGGCATAGCGTACTGAATTGAGTCTAGAATGATGTGTGCTATGTTTCGTGAAAATCTGTTCAGATTTAGATATTGCTCCCATTTATATTTTCGTCCGATTTTAGGTAAATGGTGTACCAAAATCCCTATATATATTTCGATTTGTACGAAATTTGGCATGTCTTTTAAATTGAGTCTAGAATCATGTGTGCTAAGTTTCGTGAAAATTGATTCTGATTTGGATATAGCTCCCATATATACTTTCGTCCGATTTAATGTAAATGTTGCACAAAAGTCCCTATATATCTTTCGATTTGCACGAAATTTGGCATAGCGTACTGATCGGTTCCGATTTAGATATAGCTCCCACATATATATTTTCGTCCAATTTAATGTAAATGGTGTACCAAAGTCCCTGTACATCTTTCGATTCGCACGAAATTTGCCATAGCGTAATGAATTGACTTTAGAATGATGTGTGCTAAGTTTCGTAAAAATCGTTTTTTTTACCTTCTCACGGCAATGTTTTTAATATATGAGTCTTTAATATTTAACTTTAATTCGTCCGAGAGCATAATATTTCTCCACTAAGTCGGAGAAATTGCAAAAGGCAATTTGGCTTTCCGATTCTTTTCAGAAATTAAAGAACTTTTTTGATAGTTTCCGGGCATGTACGCCTGTTGAACTCTTAAATGGGTATTTTTTTACTACTTTGACAATTTGTTGATCAGTACGAACTGATGGTCTGTGATACATTTTTTTCACAATCAATTATCAATTATTATTTTACTTGATAATTATTTGTTTTTCAAATCTTATAATAAGATTTAAAACAAAACAAAAAACTATTTTGCTGACGTCAAAATAGAAATATTTACAAAATAATGCAAAATTCGTAATATTTTTCTTCTTGCGCTACACATAGTGCAAACAGAAACATTCCTTTATTTGCATTACGATCGCATTTAATCGCTTTGATCTAACAGCGAATAATGCCCACTAATGTGTCACCTTCTGTGGCACCCTTATCGCCTTCGTTATACTATGTAACAACAATGCAAAAATGATTACTCAAGAATTTTTTTTACGTAAAATTTGTAATTTTCCATTTCATTGGCCGTTAATTAATTTATATGTATATTTTTATAATTTGTTTTTAACTTTTTGTGTGCGTTTTTTTACAGAAAGGGATGCTTTCTTATCAGCGGCTTTCTGTTTGCCATCGGTGCCATTATGTTCTTCTTTTGTCGCATGGCAAATTCTGTGGAAATGTTGATATTGGGTCGCCTTTTGGTCGGTTTGGCATCCGGTTTAACAACAGCCACGCTACCAATGTATCTAACCGAAATTGCTCCCTTGGCTTGGGTTGGCACGCTTGGCGTTTTTTGTGCTGTGGGTGTAACCGGTGGTGTTGTTGTCGGTCAAGTTTTCAGTTTACGTGATATTTTCGGAACAGCAGAATTATGGCATTATGCATTTAGTTTTTATATTGTCCTAATATGCATATGCTATTTACCCGCATATATGTTCCCCGAAAGTCCTAAATTTTTGTATATCGTGAAGGGTGATCGTGAGGGAGCACGCCGTGAATTGACACGTTTACGTGGTAAAGATGCTGTCGATATAATTAATCATGAAATCGAAGAAATGGAATTGGAAGCCAATGCCAAGGTGCAAACAAGAAGTTTTGGCTCCGTCCTAAAGGATCCTGCCTTGTTGTTGCCCTTGATAATTGTCTGCTGTTTCCATGGTGGTCAACAGTTGTCGGGTATTAATGCGGTAGGTGTAAAGAAAATTACTATTTTAATTGGCTTTAATTAAGTATTTTTTATATGTTTATTTAGATTTTCTATTATTCTGTGTCAATATTTGAAAAAGCTGGTCTTTCGACAACCGATGCAGAATGGGCGAATTTGGGTAAGTTTTGCGTATACTTTTGATTATTTTTCTAGCAAACTATAGCTTTTTCGGATCTTCCTTTGTGAGAAATGTAGATCATATGGCTTATTTGGTCTTTAATTAGAAAAAAATGTATGCTCTTCTTAGAGAACACAGTTTTATAATCCATAAGAATAAAATATAGTCTTCTATGTTACGACTGTCCTCTTAAAATAAGACTTTTCTGTCCTTTTATAACAAGACCTTCAATAAAAATAATGTTTGCCTTTCTTTCTGGTCTTTAATTGGAATACGTTTTTTATCTTCTATGGTTTAGTTGTCCATAAGAAGATTATTTGATTATCTATTAAAACATGTCTGCTCTTCTTAACACAGTTTTATTATCTATAAGAATAAAACCTAGTATTCTATATTACGACCTACTGACCTCTTAAAAGTCGATTTCATTTTATAATGAATGATTATTAGAATATATTTCAAAGGAAGACATATGTGAATGTAATTAATACGTAGTCGATGAACGTTTAGATTTACATGAATGCCACACTGAGAACTTCCACATGGTGTATCTCTATGACACCAGTGGGACAATTTCATGAGGTGGCGGAAATCTTTCGCGTCTATCGAAACTATCATAGCCTTAGTTGTACAGGCTTGCCCCACCAAGGCATGGCGGTATACATAACACATGCCCAGCATGTGCACTAGAACCTCACGACTCACGACTGTCCAGCTAAACATTCTCTTCTCTGTCTCCAAATTCTCTGTGGTTGGGAAGTTTCCATTATGCCCTTCTATAAGAAATTTTTTTATTGTAACATAACCTTCTGAATAAGAATAATTTGGTCCTGTCTTCTTATCTTTAATTAGACGAAGTTCTCATTCAGGTCTTTCATACAAGAATGCTCTGATCTTCCATTTCCATATGAAGACCTTATGGTTATTCAAAAGGAAACCTTATCGACCACGACCCTCGGGCTTTGTATAAGAAGGTCATAAGTCATTGTATAAAATATCTTTCCGGTCTTCTATGAGGATACCTTCTTCTACCCTTCTAGGAGAATACCTTCTATTCCTTTATAAGAATACCTCCTTTTATAAAAATACGCTCTTGCCTTGGCTAAAAATCCTATCTAGCTTAATTTGGCGTACTATAAGTAGAACTTATATCTTCTAGAGACATGAAGCCCTCTTGGTCTTCTATAAGAACATCTCTTCTGATTTTCTATATGAATAATTTAGGTCATGTCTTCTTTTCTTTAATTAGGATAGTTTTTATTCTGATCTCCTATACCAGGACATTCTGGTCTTCCATATGATGACTTTCTGGTCTTTTATATGAATATTTTTAGGGACCATCTCAGGCGTGGATTTATTTAAGAATATTTTTTCAGGGACCATCTCAGGCATGGATTTATTTAAGAATGTTTTTTCAGGGACCATCTCAGGCGTGGATTTATTTAAGAATAGTTTTTCAGGGACCATCTCAGGCGTGGATTTATTTAAGAATAGTTTTTCAGGGACCATCTCAGGCGTGGATTTATTTAAGAATAGTTTTTCAGGGACCATCTCAGGCGTGGATTTATTTAAGATTAGTTTTTCAGGGACCATCTCAGGAGTGGATTTATTTAAGAATAGTTTTTCAAAGAATATTTTTTCAAAGATCATCTCAGGCGTGGATTTATTAAAGAATATTTTTTTAAAGACCATCTCAGGCGTGGATTTATGAAAGAATATTTTTTCAGGGACCATCTCAGGCGTGGATTTATTAAAGAATATTTTTTTCAAGGACCATATCAGGCGTGGATTTATGAAAGAATATTTTTTCAGGGACCATCTCAGGCGTGGATTTATGAAAGAATATTTTTTCAGGGACCATCTCAGGCGTGGATTTATGAAAGAATATTTTTTCAGGGACCATCTCAGGCGTGGATTTATGAAAGAATATTTTTTCAGGGACCATCTGAGGCGTGGATTTATTAAAGATAATTTTTTCAAGGCCATACTGAGGCGTGTATTTATTAAAGAATATTTTTTCAGGGACCATCTGAGGCGTGGATTTATTAAAGAATATTTTTCAAGGGCCAACTGAGGCGTGGATTTATGAAAGAATATTTTTTCAGGGACCATCTCAGGCGTGGATTTATTAAAGAATATTTTTTCAGGGACCATCTCAGGCGTGGATTTATTGAAGCATATTTTTCAAGGACCATCTCAGGCGTGGATTTATTAAAGAATATTTTTTCAGGGACCATCTCAGGCGTGGATTTATGAAAGAATATTTTTTCAGGGACCATCTCAGGCGTGGATTTATTAAAGAATATTTTTTTCAAGGACCATATCAGGCGTGGATTTATTAAAGAATATTTTTTCAGGGACCATCTCAGGCGTGGATTTATGAAAGAATATTTTTTCAGGGACCATCTCAGGCGTGGATTTATGAAACAATATTTTTTCCGGGACCATCTCAGGCGTGGATTTATGAAAGAATATTTTTTCAGGGACCATCTCAGGCGTGGATTTATGAAAGAATATTTTTTCAGGGACCATCTCAGGCGTGGATTTATGAAAGAATATTTTTTCAGGGACCATCTCAGGCGTGGATTTATGAAAGAATATTTTTTCAGGGACCATCTCAGGCGTGGATTTATGAAAGAATATTTTTTCAGGGACCATCTCAGGCGTGGATTTATGAAAGAATATTTTTTCAGGGACCATCTCAGGCGTGGATTTATTAAAGAATATTTTTTCAGGGACCATCTCAGGCGTGGATTTATGAAAGAATATTTTTTCAGGGACCATCTCAGGCGTCGATTTGTGAAAGAATATTTTTTTCAAGGACCATCTCAAGCGTGGATTTATGAAAGAATATTTTTTTCAGGGACCATCTCAAGCGTGGATTTATGAAAGAATATTTTTTCAGGGACCATCTCAGGCGTGGATTTATGAAAGAATATTTTTTCAGGGACCATCTCAGGCGTGGATTTTTTAAAGAATATTTCTTCAAGCACCATCTCACGCGTGGATTTATTAAAGAATATTTTTCAAGGACCATCTCAGGCGTGGATTTATTACAGAACAGTTGGTAGAAGGACCATCTCAGGCGTGGATTTATTACAGAATATTTGGTCGAAGGGCCAACTGAGGCGTGGATTTATTAAAGAATATTTTTCAAGGGCCAACTGAGGCGTAGATTTATTAAAGAATATTTTTTCAAGGACCATCTCCCTCTTTTTTTACGGAAAGATCTCATCATATGAAATGACCTCTGGAGACAAAATTTTGTTCTTCATTGTGTATTCTTCTTGTTGTTCATATTTTCAATTTCATTTTTAATAAATTATTTTTCCTTTGTTTTCAGGTGCTGGCTGCCTTAATTTAGCTACATCTTTCCTGGGTCCCCTGTTAATGGCCCGTGTTAATCGTCGTCCACTAATGATGTTCTCCAGTTCGATTTGTGCCGGTTTTCTATTCACCATAGCTTTTATTCTTTACTATATTGTGAGTCAAATTTGATATTTATTGATTTATAATGTAATTATGTTTATTATTGTTGTTTTTGTCTATCTATCTATTTATAGGAAAAGGCCAGTTGGTTCCCAATGGTTTGCATTGTCTGCATTATGGGCTATATATTCTTCTATCAATTTGGTTTGGGACCGATACCGTATTTTATTGGCACTGGTAAGTTGTTGTAATTTCAAATGTTTATAAGGCCATCGTTGGCATGGCAAATTGTAAGAAAATTAAATTATTATTCTTCACTCATTTCTTTTCTTTTCATCTTTCATGAGTGCTGATTGAAATTCTTTGATTTGAATGTTTTCTACTACTTTGATGTGAATTCTATATTTCAAGTAGTTTTATTGTTTTTTTTTTAGATTTCGATTTGATTCATAGATTTCAGTGCTCAGGTGGAAGGTCGAAGGTGGTTTCCTCTAAATACAATTTCATATTAGATTTTGTTTAAAAAAAGCGTCCTGTTCAAATGTTAGAAAAGCCCAAGTTTTCTTTACGGATTTTTAAGTTCTATTTCTTTTTAAAATAACCAAAATTGGCCAGCAAACTCCCAGTTGCCATATTGTTTTTGGATGCAGAGGATGCCCTTCAATAAGAAATAATCACAATAATTGGGTCCTTTCTTCTTTTCTTTTCTTTTATTTCTATTTTTCTGCTTTTCTATGAGAAGACTTGCTTCTATAAAAAGACAATCTGGCCTTATATGATAATACATCTAGCCTAGCCTATTTTGGCATACAATAAGTAGACCTTTTATCTTCTAGAAACAAGAAACCCTCTTGGTCTTCTATAAGCAAATCTCTTTTCACTTTCTATAAGAATAATTTAGGTCATATCTTCATATATGTGTTATTAGGGTATCAAATTGTTCGGTCCTGCTGTACTTTGATTTGTTTATTATTGTTTACATACATTCTGCAATTAATATTGACCAATTATTAATCATTCCTTATGTTACAACAATGAAATAGATTCCCCTCGCCCTTCTTTACCAGCGTGATAATTTCTTTTAATGCAATTTGTTTATTTAACCCAATCACCTTCTGGTTAATTTGTTTGCAACCAATACATATCGACAAGCTCAACTCTTTCTTTGCCATATTTCAATTTTTTTTCTTGTTGTGGAGGCAATGATGACAACATCGTTTTGTAAACAAAATATTATAGCTACGCCACCATACTCGCCGCTACGACATCATCACAATTCAATTAATACTTTTTTATATTTGTTTATACAAAAGTCATAAATTTTATTCATTCACGTGCTTCGTTTTTTGTTCATGTCTGCACTTCTTTGCTTATTCTCGTTTTAAAATCATGTGTCTGGCTGGCTGGTCGGCCGGCTGGCGCTAATGCTGACCAACCAACCCAGCAGCAGCAAGTGTTTATGTGTCAATTTCAATTGTATTCGTAATGGAATTGATTGTTCTGAGCTGGACGGACGGATGGACAGACAATTGAAATGCATTCAGAAATTTGATATGTGTGTGGGGAAAATGTATTGGAGGCGTTATGGCTCGTCGTTTGCTTTGGATTGTGAGAACGAACGCACAATTGCTAATTGCTTTGATTCACTTAAGGAAATTGTTTCAAGGTTAAGGTTACTGATTTCGAGGCAGAATTGTAATTTGTATTTTTTGCGCCTTTTATATCAATAGCTATTATTAGATCGCACAAATTGGGGTCATTGTACACGAGCATCAAATGTTTGAAGTCCAATTGAAAAGAGAACATGACGTTTTTTTATTTATTTATTAGTTCAGATTTATCAAAAGAGGAGGATCACATGTTCGTGTGAAAGCTTGATTGACCCAAAACAAGAGACGCAGTAACTCAATTAAATTAAAATGGTGTGGCATGAGGAGCCGCCTTTGGGTTTGTCAGAAAAAAGTACAGTCAAATAAATTTTCATTTGATTGCGCATTTTAGTTATTTCACGAATTGGCTAAAATGAGTCTTTTGATACTTTAAATTTCATATCTTTATAATTAATGAATTGAAATATAGGCGTGGATTTTTTAAAAGCAATAAATCTTCTTAAAGGGAAAAATGATCTTGTTCTTAGGGAAAAACATAAGGGTTTCTCAATATAACGGTCTTTTAATAAAAAACCCATGAGGTCTTCTCATAGTATGCTAAATGGTTTTCATATAGAAGACCAAGTGGTTTTCTTATAGGCGACCAAGACGTGGTCCATTACAAGGGTTCTTCTTGATCGCCTATAAAGAAGGCCCCTTGTAATGGACCACGAAGTTTTCTTATAGAAGATAAAAGGTATGCTTTTTATACCACAAAACTGGCCAAATAGAATTTTTATACAAGGTCAGAGTGTTTTTATAGAAGTAGATCTGTCATATAAAACCAGAAGGTATTTTCATAAAAGAATTTAAGGTAGTCTTCTAGAATGCTAAAAGAAGTTATGAATGTATGCCTTACAGCCTACTGCATCCACAGAGAAGCAAAGGTTTAGCTGGACAGTTGAATATATGCAACGAGTCGTGCGGCTCTAATCCACATGCTGGGCAAGTGTTTGTATAGCGTGAAGGAAAAAAATTCAAGAACTCTCAAAAGGCTTCATTTGGTCTTTTATAAAAAGACCTTTGAAGATCTATTAGAATAACTCTAGCCCATATCTGAAAATATTTCTTGGTCTTCTATGATAAGATTTGATGGTTTCTATGGAAGACCTCTTGAAAAAACTCTTGATAATCTATGAAAGGCTAGGACACAAGGTGTCTTCATTTTGTCAAAAAGTACAGCCAGCATTTTCTTTGACTGCCCATTTTTTATACCCTCCACCAAATTTCTTTAGGCATTCCTTTTGCAACACATCGAAATATTCACCGGATACCCCATAAATAATATATATTCTTCATCAGAATAAAAATCTATGTTGAGTTATGCGAGTACGACTGTCCGTATGTCTGTTGAAATCTCGATAGAGATCGCAGTAAAGCTTTGAAATTTTACACGGCATTGCTATTCCTCCTAGGATGGTTGCTATTGCAAATGGGGTATAACCGTACCCTCAAATATTCGGTATAATGGGGATTTTTGATCAGTTTTTCAACCAAATTGGCTTTAAGACATTTCCACACACGTAGCTGAAGGACTCAACCAGAACAGGCCGTGTAACAGGACAGTTATGGTGGCGCTGGACCTATCAAATTTTTTCCTTTTTTTTATTTTGTACTACCGGTCCAGTCCGACTTTACTCCTAACTGGTTTAACCGTATATAGAGTTTTGGAAGGCTAAAAGCTCCGCTTCTTTTTCGGTATTAAAAAATTGTAAACGATTTTTCTCATGGCAGTATAGATTGATCCCATAAATGTCCTCCCCACGTGGTGGAGGATATAAAAAGTCGAACTTAACGACTTTTTTACTTGTTAGGGACTATGCAAGTCTTAAGGCAGAACTTTTTAAATGTTTCCCAAGAAGTATAAAATGGTCTTCACTCGAAGACCAGAGTTCCATTGTTTTAATTCGGAAATAAGATAAATAATAATATAAAAAAGATAATATAAACGAGTAATGAAAGCCCAAAGTCGGACGGAGCGACTGTATACCCTTCACCACTTTGGATACATACAAGACATGCGAATTTATACAATACCCTGTAGATAGAACTGACGTAGGACCATTGAAATGGAATCGAGCGAAACTAAATGTGTGATCTACATAGATATTTGAACCAATTAAAAAACCCATGCGCATACCATTCTGAAATCTATGAAATATTGCATGTCAATCGGATTCTTTTGTGTACATGCATAAATCGACTCAGAAAGAGATAGTATGCATATTCTCAAAAAGAACCTGGGTCTATCTCGATTCTTTTTGTCTGAAACATATGCACAAAGACATAATGTGTGGTGAAGGGTATAAAAAGATATATGTGTGGTGAAGGATATAAAAAGGCAATAATAATGTTTTAAACAACTAGCAAGTCCATATGTTGAATTTTTATTTTTGGTTTTTTCTCTGTTGTTAGAGAATCTAAATGATTTCCTTTTTATCGCCTCTTTTATTGGCATTTTTATATTTCCCATTATTCTTAAGCAAACATCTCCATTATCATTGACACATTCTGTTGACAAATACTGCTTGCAAACGTCGTTTTCTTAATGCATTTTTAATATTTCTGTATTTTTTTAGAACTCTTCGAAGTGGCACCACGTTCCGTTGCCATGTCCATGGGTAGCTTATCCTCGTGGGCGTGTAATTTCATCATTGGTATGGCCTTTCCATCGTTGCAAAATGCCTGGGGTGCATTCGTATTTTTGCCGTTTTCCGTCACCTGTGCACTGCTATTTCTGCTAACGAAATTCTATTTACCCGAAACACGTGGCAGAGATCCGTCCGAAGTAGCACCACTCGTATCGAAAGGATTTAGATCAAAAGTTAAATAAATTTTTAAATTTTTCTGATTTTTTGATTTCAAAAGCTATATTTAAATTTTAAATGTTTAAAATTTTGTTTTATGTGGCTAGGAGACAATATGTGGTTTAAAATTTAAACTATAAAACAACACAAACATACATACACACACTTTTAGATTATATAATTGAACAAAATATTTCAAATTATCAATTATCTACACAAAAAATGTCGTGTTCATTGGCAAATTGTGCATGTAAACATCTCAAGGATTAGATTATAAAAATAAAAAAACAAAACACTTTGACAGAAATTAAAAAAAAAAATTAAAAACAAAAGAGAAACGCATAAATTGTAAAAACTTTCTAGGCTTAATTTGAATTTATTTTGAAAAAAGACATCACGTTAATTTGTAAAGCATCAATTTTAAAAATGTGTTTCACATAAAATGTTTGTTTTTTTATTGTTTTCACATTCAATCATAATTTATTTGTATTTTTTGTTTAATTTTTTTAACATAATAACTGGTGTATATTTTAAAAACTTTTTCATTTTTATATTAAACAAATTTAGTACAATTTTAATTTATTTTTTAAATTTTACAAAATGTTCTCTATTAAGAAAAACAAAAACAAGAACAAAAGGTTCTATAAATAAATTGCCTAGGTATGAAGATAATGATGTATCCTACTTGTCATACAAGAATAGAATCTTCTATATTTAACTGTTGTCTTCAATAATAAATTTACTTAATAAATACATCAAATGTATAAAAATGTATTTAATTGATGTTTTAATTCATACAATTTACCTGTATAAAAAATCATATTTGCATGGATATTTGTTGGAAACTTTTTGGTTAAGATTGAAAGTTCTTTCCTGTTGGAAAAAATTAAAAATTCTTTTAATTTTCGTTGAATTAATTTGACGATGAAATGACATCTCGAATACCTTCAAGACAGCACTCACAGTCCAGAAGCATGTGGCCTTTCATTGTCACGGATTGTCCATTCAGCGACAGCTGTTCAAACCATCTGTTTTTCCCCCAGGTGAGCAAACCATGTCAGCCGATTTGCTCAATATCCTATTAATAATGGATGGCATCGAGCAGAACCCGGGCTCCACTTCCACCGAGATCGCATTCTGTTCAGTGTGTCACACTCGGATCACGCGCAGTCTTGTCTAGATGCAATGCAACCTATGTCTTAAATGGTGTCACCTAAGACATTGCTCTGGATTGGCTAGTCACAGAGACCGGTCAAATAACTTTATGGCGAGCTGCTGTGCACCCAAAAATTCTTCGCCTGCAGCTGCTCAACTTCCATCCTCCAGCAACGCCTCTGCAACACCCAACATTTGCTCGGTCTGGAATGAAATTATCAGGTGAAATACTACATCTGTCCGGTGCTTACTTACTTAGCTGGCTATGGTTCTCAAGTTCCACAGTTGGTCCGAGTCTACTGGACGTCAGCTTGGTCTTCTCGCTGTTTACTGTCAGACCCACTTTGGCAGACTCCTTTTCAATTTGTTCAAAGGTGGCTGTTACCGCCCGCAATGTTCGACCCATTATATCGATGTCATCGGCGTAGGCGAGTAACATGTGTTGTTTGGTGTACAGAGTGCCTCGTGCCACTTAAAGTTATCCTGCATAGCCGTATTAATTTTGCGGGAATGCCGAACGCAGACATGGCTTTAAACACCTCTGAACGGATAGAGCTTCTGTTGTGTCAATGTCATCACCGCCATGGATTTGATGATCTCCACAATTTTAAGTTATTGCAGTTAAACTGTAATGGGCAAAAGCTTCTAAAGCCCATGGTTCGGATGACATCTCTATGTTCATGCTAAAGCATCTCGGCCTAATAGCCTTGGATTATCTGGCAGCAATCCTATCGTATTCGGTAAACTCACTAGTAGTCCCAGAGATCTGGTAGGCTTGTTACCTGTGCTGGCTGATGCTTCAACAAAATGAACAAGGACCAAAAAGCCAGACAAGGTGGTACCGCCAGAATTTACGAAGGAGGACGTTGCAGATGTCCTATAGTTGAGAGGCAGTTTTCCAGTTGCCCAATATCAGCATGGAATCCGTAAGATGCACAGCACAAAATCAGTATTGAACGCCATTACCACACATATTAGCAGAGGACTTAACCAGAACAGGCCGTGAAACCGACCAGTTATAGTGGCACTTGTCCTATCGAAGGCCTTCGATACCGTCAACCATGCCAAGCTGTTCGAGGACATAGAGAAGAGAAATCTCCGAACTTTGGATGATCAGCTATATGTATGGATGCCAGCCGTATATGGAATATAGAAACCGGAATCTAAACTCCGCAGAACAGGGAGTTCCCCAAGTAGGGGTCATATCTCCGGAATTGTTTAAACTCTATCTCTCTGATATTTCACAATTACTAGGCGGCATAGAGATCATAATGTATGCGGATGATTGTACGATCATGGCGTCGGGTCCCATTATTGATGACATTTGCGAGAGGTTAAACTTCTACATAACTGATCACGTAATACTTCCATTTGAGGAATATGAAAATATACGCACGAAATCAACAGCTACCCTGTTCATCACATGGGCAATGAAGCTTCCACTGAACATAATGGTGGATGGATAATTGACTACCCCAAGATGCTGGAGGTAACTTTCGAAATCCTTTTCAAGTCGTCCGCGCCTGCCATTGCTTTATGCGATAAGCTGAGAAGTAGGAACAGGGTCCTTAAGTCGCGAATGTAAGTGATGCGCAATTGAAGAATATCCAGACCTGCCAGAATGCTGCCCTTAGAACTGTAACAGGGTGTTTTCTCATGACTTCCGTGGACCCTATTCTTGAGGAGACGAAGATCTTACCCGTTCATCAATTATACAGGGTGAGATAAAAAAGCTGCAACAAAGTCAAACGCCATAATGTTTACGTTTTTTTAAATTTGTATAATTAAAAGCAAATCATGTCGGAAATAGCATCAAGTTTTAGATTAAGTTTAGATTTGTTCGAATTGGTTGCCTTTGGCATGAATAATGGCCTTCAAACGGCCAATGAAACCGTCACATGCTGCCCAAATGTTGCTCGGCGGTATTTTGGCCCATTCCCGGCGAAGCGTGATCGACACTTTGGTATTTTTTAGTGCCAACCTTGCTTTCCAAAATACTCCAGACACAATAGTCCAACAGATTGGTATCCGGAGATTTTGGTGGCCAGTGTGCGCTGGAAATGAAGCGAGAAACTTCATTTTGTAACCAATCTTGGGTGGAGCGTGTTGAGTGCGATGATGCTGAGTCCAGTTAGAATATCCAAGGTCTGCGGCCAAAATGTTTGCATGCCCAAGGCCGTTTTACACCCTCCAGAATATTTTCGCGATAATATTCGGCATTTATTCTGATGGCAAGGTCGATTAATACGAGCGGAGAGCGACCACCGGCTGTTATGGCGGCCCACACCATCACCATGGCCGGCGCTTGAGTTTTGGTTGCCAACCGAAGGTGCACATTTCCAGCTGACTTCTTCGGCAAGTAAACACGATCATTTTGTTTGTTTACAAACTGCTGGACAGCGAATGTTTTTCATCAGAGAAAACCAAGTTCGGCAGTTCAACCAAGCGAAGCAACTCTTTATCTTTTTGAGTCTATTTTCTTTCTCCTGCGATGTATGTTCTTGCACTTTTTGGAATTTCAATGGCTTTACCCCGAGCTCATTTTTCAATATTTGCGAATGGAATATTGCGATATGTTCAGCTCACGAGCTATTTTTTGGCCACTGCGACGCGGGTTTCGATCAAATCGCTTCTTTACTTTTCGAACCATTTCTGTTGATGTTCTCTTCCGTCCACTTCCTTGACGTCGGGCTACGCTACCAGTATCACGTTAACGAACGATGGTATGAGACACAAAAGATTTATTCACATTTAACAGCTGTCGGTTGAGTGGCTTAGAAATGAAAGCAGTCTGAAGATGGTTGCAGTTTTTTCATCTCATCCTGTATGTTGTCGATGCAGTACTTGCCTGACAATCACCCCCAAAGACAACCGTGGAAATCACGGAAAAGAGACAAAGGTGTCCGGAGCAACAACTGCAGCCAAGTATAACGGAGTTATGTCATCGATCACCACCCATTAAAAAGTTGAGAAATGATTGTGAAATGTCACCATTCTTTAGGGTTGGTTGAACTGCCTGAACTTAATTGGATTGCGCTGCCATGCCAATTGAACTGAGTAAACATTTGAACGATGTGAACGACCTAGTTTACTTTTAAAAAATGATCTAGTTCGTGCGATCACTGAACTGAACGAGATTGGCCAAGACTAGTAGTCTTAGCTCAACTAAGATCTGGATGGGGCAACCGCTTCAATTCCTATTGGGCAAGAATTGATGGCTCGATATCTAACACATGATATGTGTTTGTGAATGAGGAGTTAAATTTATTGCCAATTTAATTGCTACTTGACAGACCCGAACTGTATTTGATCCAGACAAGACACATAGAGTGAATATAAATATAACTCGGATATTTCAGATCTGAATCCTTGTATGTGTTTCACCTTTAATAACTGTGTATAAAAATGTCTAGTATATATCCTGATTTATTATCCTTTTTTTACCACTGTGCTGGCCTCTGTCGCTCCGCCAGTGTGCAATTCCAGCAGATTTCTAAACGCAACAAGTGTTTCTTGTTTTGTTTGTGTCTATTTCTTGCGTCTTAGTTCTCTTCTCTTCTATTTTTTTTTTTTTTGGACCAACAAAATGTAATAGAATTACCAAATATTTTGGTATGTGTCTCTCTTCAAGACAGAGGCCAGGCGGCAGACAGTGCTCCGGAACGAAAAATTATGGGCACAACAATCTCCCACTGACGTCACAGTGGAAACGTCAGCGTGATGGTGGCGATGATGGCCATTATGGTGGCTGGTGGTGTTGATGATGCCAATGAGAATTATAACGTACCAAAATATTTATCTCCTCTCACACAAATCGTACGTCTGCTGCTCGCTCGGCCGGTCTGATCTGTTTTTCTGGGTGTTTGGCTGG